CTTCTTACTGAGTCTACGTGCTCGCTCACTGTGACTCCTATAACGCTGTTACCTCACCCTCACTCTTCCGGTTATCTACAACCTTTTACTATGTCACTCTGGACTAGATTCTACTCCTCGGTCTTGCTCTCTCGGGTCTTCACGTAGACGTAATATATGTATATACTGGGTGATTCCATTTATATAAAAAGGGGAGAACCCCTCAACAGTAACCATGGAAGAGGTAACTGAAAACCACTCCACTATAATTCCCAAGACAAATCATTGGCTGTGCATAAAACGAATAAAAGTGACAACGGCGTAAAGTGGGTTAAGTTCGTTGGGATTGATATGACGGCAAGTATAGGAGGGATGTATAATAATAAAAAAAATCTTGAACAGCTTAATCTTTATTCAGCATTTTCATATATTAATAAAATCTTATTTACTTAGTTTAATAGCAAAAGAGCAACCTATGTCTGGTTATTGAACGAAAAAACAGTTTTTGAAGTCAGCATCACAGAGATGATAAAGTAAGAAGCTTTTCTTTTTAGCAAAGGAAAAAGAATGAAATGACACCGATGGACACTACGAGTAATGCTTCGACCAAGATATTCATTCTGTGTCTCTGTCACTGATTCCACCGGACACCAAACGATGTACATCAAAGTCGATTTCTTTTTCTTTTAAGATAGAAAAGATCAGAGAATAACATCAACAAGGTGAATATTGGTCGGCCGAAAATGTCTTCGAGTTTGAGACGATGTGACAGGTTTTGTAAAAAAAAAACCCAAACAACTTCCTACTCCAAAACAACAAAAATGTATCAGCCAAGAATTTCGAAAACACGAATTTGAAATAACTTTTGACCGATTTTTATAAACCACTGATGTCTTTTATTATTTTGTGTTGCAGTGTCTATATATATATATATATATATATATATATATATATATATATATATATATATATATATATATATATATTAACTAGTTAATATATATATATCGACTTTAATTTGCTAATATGTACATTAGTTAATATAAAAATTTAATTAGTTACTATATACGTAAATTTCTGAAATAAGTTATTCAAAAAAAAATCGCTTGAAGATGGAATAGAGCTTTCTTTAACTCAATTTAATTCAAATAATTATATTGAAGTTTTCGGCTCTTGTTTTGAAACATGAGACCTCTTATGTCGCGAGTTGGAATCATATTTTTAAATAAATAATTATATTTATGCTCTAAATTTGTATCGAGCACTATTTTTTAAAAATAATAACTAAGATACTAAGGAACTTTGGATCTACCTAACCAGTTCTTTCCTATTTTCTATATATTTTCACACACACACACACACACACACACACACACACACACACACACACACACACACACACACACATATATATATATATATATATATATATATATATATATATATAAAATTTAGGTTGTCGAATTTAGTATTGGGCCCTCAGTCTATTTTATATTTTAAACTTTATATATATATATATATATATATATATATATATATATATATATATATATATATATTACTTTGGATAGATTAAAATGTTTTAATGTTATTTATACTTATTTGATGCAGAGTACCTCCGATATGCTGTTGAAAATCAAGTTTTGATTTGACTGATTTGTTTAGGTCTTTTAAAGCCAGATGATATTTTTGATTAGAAGAATTTTGGGGACAGTAATCATTATTTGCTGGTACAAGTCCCACTAATTAAACCATAGCTGGCGAAGGAGAAAAGTTGATTTCATAACTTTACCAAGGGCATTTCCGCGTAAATGAAAATAAAACTCGGCTATTCGATTTCCAATTCCGAGCTATTATCCATTACACCACCCACATATTCAATTAAAACTAGCAGCACCTGGTATTCCAAAGTGGTCACCCATCTCGGTACTGACCAAGCTCGGCGTTGTTTAATTTCGGTGATGGTACGTGTTTTAGCGTAAGCCTGAAAATCAATGACAAAATTACATAAGAGTTTAGCTGTTCACAACGGCAATGCCCCCAAATGCAAGAATGTTGTCTTTCAAGGCAAGTAGATTCCATCAATTTTAAGGACTGGCAGAATGCAGTAATTTTATCCTAGTTTCTTCTAGGTTTGTACCGTCCAATGCGAATGTTCATAAATAACAATACAGGAAATTCGATCCGTGAAATCAAATATCATGAATGAACAAAATATAAAAAGTGTTCATTCAAATCGGTTCTCCAAATTTTTTGTCACATCAGGATATGGTCTCTTCATGTCTCCCCATGCAAACTCAGTCGACTGGGGCACTTGTCCAGTAATATCAGACGCTAATGATTTTATTATTGTTTCACTGGATGTGTGTGTTTTCTTTAAAATTTTATGATTGTTGTCTTGACTGTTACTTTGAAATCGCAATCCGCTCAAGTTCCATTCTGAAATATACAACCACGTCAGCTCTCAGGTAAGTTCTCTTTTCTACATCTTTTAATATGTATTTAGTTAGCTGCATAAAAAAACTATTGTTTAATTAAAACTTCTATAAATATGTACTTTGTTCCAGGTCGAGATGAATAATCATTTTTAAAACTCTTGAATTATGGGTTCTGCAAATAATATTTTACAAACTCATGGGAATCAGGGTAAATAATGATCAGGGTATAATGAAACAATCAACATTGACTGTTTAATAAAACTTTAGTTATAAAAATATTCACAAGTTTTAAAAAGAAATTTATTATATTACAATAATATTCAGTTGGAATTTATTTGAATAAATAGTTGAATGAAAATATAAAATATTTTCTTCCCAATGCATCCTACATTTCAATGTAAAGAATAATAATTAATAAATGACAAGTATTTTGCCTTTTTGTTCATGGTGTATGACAAAATTTAATTATTTGCCCTTGATTCAGCTAAAATTTACGCACATGTCAAAGATTAAGGAATATATCACATTATAGTCTGGTGAGACGCATGAAAGTTAAGTCCACCGACCAGTTAGCAGCAGCACTTATATTGCCAGCTATCCAATTCTTTGCACAGTTCTAGACCCAATCCAACCAATGATATAATTTACAACAATTAAAACTCTTAAGTAAGACCTTAGTACAATTCGATTTTTTTCTAGATCTTTTAATAAGTATTCAGTTGCAACATAAAAAAATTAGTTCTGTAAATATATAATTTGATGCAGAACGAGATGAGTAATCATTTTTAAGATTCTTGAATTATTTTTTCGGCAAAAAATATTTTACAGAATAATGTAAGTCAGAGTAAATAATGAAGCATGGTTTACTTAAACGGACACCGTTGACAGCAGTTTGATAGAATAATTTAACATTATAAAAGAAAAGAGAGAAAAAGTCATGGATTTAAAACAAATAATCATAAAATATATAAATAAAATTTTTTAAAGAATTATTAGTGTTTTGTTAGCATAGTTATACAAGAAAAGGCCGAATGGTTAGAACGTTCGATTTCTGACCATGAGACCCGGGTTCGAATCTCACCATAGTCGATCTGTCAGGAAAGAGACTTCTTGATGTTATTCAGAATGGATGCATGCAGCACCTTTGGAAAGTGCCTAAAAACCATACCACGGATTGACCCAAGCCTTGTGAGTGAAATTGGGTAGACGGAACTCTTGAGGGCCGTCGATGGCTGATCTAGCAAAAATCCACAAGTCATCAAGAGGGCTTGAGCGTGCTGGCTTTGTTCAAGTTGTTGAGCATGCTAGATAACACGCTCTTTCTCGGAAACTGTAACTAAGTATCAGCAGAGATGCTGTATAAACTACAGGTGGGCTTTGTGAGTGTTGAGCAAACACAAATATGCCTAGTAGACGGGTATCCTCGAATAAGAAGGAAAAGAAAAGAACTTTAATAATCTTCAGTTGAAGTTTCTGAAAGGGATAAGGTACTTACATGATAAAGCTAGGTAGAAAAATGTAAAATAAAAACAGATTATCAAAGGAAAAGGTTTTTTTTCACCTCCAAACATTTCAATTGATTTATTAACATACACTTTTTTTTTTATCTGAACTACTGCGATATTCCGGCATTTTCAAAATATTTTACAAGGCGATCTCGGAAAGTCTCCAGACTGTATGTAATATGATTTTCCCGCTGAACGGAAACTGTGCTCACAACTAAAGCTCATTGTTACTCAACAAAACTGAGTCAGTCTGTCAAAAGGCTTAGCGCTATCTACTCGTGTTTAGTTAAAATGCGATGCTTTGTAATCTTGTACTGGAACGGCGTTGTGATCTTTACGATAGTTGAAAATTCGAGTAACATAGTCGCTTCAAATTTCGCAACTGTAGATCTATTACCGATATCCACGCAATCTTTCGTCAGGTTTCTGACAAATATAAATTTGATCGAATACAAGTTTTCTGAACTGTGTTTCAAGGCCACTCGAAAGTTAATTTGTGAGAATATGGGTTCAGAGCGACTAGTTACGAGTAAAGCGTCAAAACATGTGTAGTAACGGCGTAACTCTTTAAAGGCCTAGATGCCATCAGGGTGGATGAATTTTCTTGTAAGTGTAACTAAATGCCGTTTTCAATGAAAAAGAACTACGCTTTATACTGATGTTTTATTCTTTATTGACTAATGAATGCAAAATAGACACCATGAAAACTAAAAGCTTAATAATATAAATTTCAACGGAAAATGGACAAACAGTAAACATTTCAAAAGATTGAGTGATTTGTTTTTTACGGCTTATCAACCTTTTGTATGTTATTTGAACATTTAAATATTTTGGATTGTAAGAATAATTTTTTTGCGAGTGAATATTGTATTAACATTTTCTGGAAATAATAATGATTTTCAGATACAAGTCTTACTATTTAACCCATAGATGGGATGAGAAGAGGTGGATTCATACATTTCCCAACGGCATTTGCGCGTAAGTGAATGTAACGAACCCGACTGAAATTCGAACTCGGTTCTTCGATTTCTCATTCCGAGCTGTTATCCAGTACCCCACCCGCGCATCCAAACTTTGAGCAACTGGTATTTCCATGCGGTCATCAATCTAAGTACTGACAAGGCTCGACGTTGCTTAACTTCGGTGATCGGACAAAGACCGGGGTTTCAACGGGATATGGCCGTAAATGGGTAGCAAAAGAAAGCGAGAAGAAAGGACTAACCAAACAACCCAAGATGCGAACACCGAATTAGCGATGACGAAATGAAACAAGTAGGAAAATATAAATTCTGGGAAGTGTTCTGACAAAGGACGCAATAGCGAAAGTTTTAAGAAACTGGAAAATTACTGGTACTGACCAGGCTCGACGTTGCTTAATATCGGTGATCGAACGAAAACCGGTTTTTCAACGTGATATGACCGTAGGCCACATTTCAACATGAAGGTTTTCAAACAAAAACAATAAAAAAATTCGAATAGGAGTAGATAGCTTCGCCTGTCGTCTGGTTCACACGCCTCCCCGGTCTTTTGAACAGTAGTGGTTTATCCCTTGTTTCCTGTCTAGGATTGGGTTTCCAGTTTCTCATAAAGTCTACTTCCACACTATGCTTCTAAAGTCTTCGACTAAACTCGGGAATATTATTCACCAATTAAATCTTGACCTCTTCAAGACCAGAGATAGCATTTATCTTTCCTGTATGGCCCCAAGAACTTCATTTCTTGCTCTTTCTTATGCTCATACCACACTACGCAGTAACCCTCTACCTTGTGTGGCTCTTGGGCTTTGTATTAGGTGAACATCAGTAAAAGAAGAAATTATAAAGAGACACGTGGTGTCTTAGAGGGAAATTAATTTCAGGTATAACAAAGAGCGGATAATTGCCGTGTTGTCTCGTATGACCAGCAGTAGAGAAAAGAAAGAAGCGGGGATAGATCATCGACAGATCTTTAATATTTACTGTCTCCTTCCAGGTTCTCTTTCGTGTGAAGGCCGGCACTTAACAATAAATGGATTAATAACGGATATAAAACGTGTGTTCGGCATCACAAAATACTGTTTAGAGTAACAGCCACTTGGAGCGAGCTTTAACTTAAAAATAAGAACGACATATGAAATTCAGGTTTTATTATTTAAATCTAAGAACATATTAATCATATCTTAACCACCTTAGTGGTTCATGCTTTATCGACATGATTAACCTGCGTTAAAAATTAAATTAAAAATTTATTTGATTTTTTAGTTTCTAGTGTTTTTTGTAAGCTTTAAAAATAAAACACCCTTATGTTAATGGGTTTTATCATTATATCGCTTATTTATTTAGATAAATCCTCTCTCTTGAAAGTGGTGACCATTTAAGTATTTAGATCAAAGTTATGATAATATGTATGCTAGCACACCAGTAGCGGTCAACTAGCACAACTGGGTAGACTGAGCTCCATAGCTACGGATGCAGCCAGTGCGGTGATTGGGTGGAGGGCTCTTTCGACTGAAATCAATGGCCTGGGCGTAAAGTTCTCCCGATGGAATCAACAGACATGTATTCAAGACAAAGGCGAAGCTTCACGCTGTAGGACACCGGCTGTGGTTTCACCTGGAACAAAATGGGTTCAGCCACATCTAAAGGCCTTCTATGCATGAATGATTACCTCACCGGATTTCAACTCCAATAAATGGGAACTGGTCAGTTGCTTCTCTGTACAGTGTCCTTATAACCACACCATGGTCATAGAAATCTTGTTTTGCCGTTGTTGATAATGATGATGATTTCAGAAACTGGAAAAAGAACTTCATAGAAACCTTAGAAAGATACCAATAATAATAGCCCGCACACATTCATACAAAAGTAAACTAGTATATGTAATATGTTATGGACCATGTAATCAGGAAGAATACTGAAGAAAGTGCAGAAATATTGAGAGAACTTGCTGTCACTTGATCAGTGAAAGCCTTTCCTAATGGACGCCTCCAAGGATTACTGGTGTGAAAATCAATTTATTAAGATGAAGTCAATACAAAATCGCAGCTCACTTTCTGAAAGCAAAGAAAAAATGGTAAAGTAAAATAAGAAAAGGAAAACAGAAAACTCGTCCATGTATGAAGATCACTATTTAATCAAGCATTGTTCGTTACCAGACTCAGGGCTCCTTAGCAGAGAACCTTCTTGTCTTGTGAAATGATTGATATCTTTCTGCCGAAGGAGGGCAGACGTCAATGGTTGAATGACTCGCCTCCAGTGATGCCGGATTTAATCGAATGAGACAAGAAGTCAAAACAAAACCAAAGAGATTTATTGGTCTCGTCTTTTCACATTGTAATAATAATAATAATAATAATACACAAAGAATTCTAAGACTGGTGCCAGAATATGAGGGAGGCTTTTTGTCACTTTATTTAAAGTGAAATCCACCAATTACAACTGATGTGAAAATCTTATTAATAAATATAATAATAAATTTGTCTAAGAAGAGTTAGTTTTCTTTACTCCCTAATAACAACCGTTAGATGGCTTAGATATGAAACTTTCACCATCGAATATGAAGATAAAAATCGTTTAAAAATAATGATGATAGTTTTATATTTAAAAGCGACTAGAATTCTTAATAAAAACAATCCATTACCAGTGATTTCGAACAGGCACTTAAATAGGCAGCACAATGCTAAAAACAAATGTCTCCTGTGCGAAAGAAAACTGTTAATGTTATAAATGAATTTAGCAAATTTGTTCAGATGGAATTTAAAAATAGACACGAAGGTAAGAAAAGCCATCCCTATGGAGTTTTTCAAACCAGGGAACACAGCCCTATAAACAAGTTGTACATTACAAACAAAACGCTATCCTGGTTGTTCTGTCGACAAGGCTTAGGATACGTCGACCTGCACACACACTCGGACACAAATCCTACCAATGTCTACGTTTCTGACTCCTTTGTAAACCGAACCTGATTGATTGATTTATTTGTTTGTTTACAGCATATCAAATTTAATGCCGAAATTTACTTTTCTTGAGAGCTTTTATGTAATTTGATAACTTTACTATAAAAATGTATTTTTATACTTTCATAGTGTTTTCTTTGTGTTTTGAGATTCACTATTTGTCCACAGATGAAACTCTAACAGGTACAACCACCCCAGGTTAAGGTGGACCTGGGAACAACAGCGATTAAGAGGTGGTTCCACGCTCCTCAAAACCTCCATAAACCTATTTCTACCTTTTTTACTTTAATGTAAGCCGGACCTATTCTACCTATACATTATGTCACTGTGACCTTTTGTCCTATAAAACATATATTCGACACTAAATAACCCAACAAATGTTGATTTGTCATTAAGTTGACGAAACTAATCTCACAGCAAGCCTAGGAATTAGAAAAAAAAAGGGATTCTTCTTGGAACCATGAATTGAAAACAAATAATCCGGCCCAGGTCCTGAAACGAGATCTTATCATGGCAAAGAAATAGAAGATCTTTCAGATTAGGGATGTTGTGATTCCAGGAAAACGCAGAGTAAAATTAAGAAGAGAATGAAATGCTGGTAGAATATTTGAACTCAACATGAAAGCTGAAAAAAAACTGGTGAGGAATGAAGTAGTCAATTTTACCTATTGGCTCACTTGGAATAAATTCGGAAAGCTTTTGAGAAGACAAGAAAGAAAAATCCAAAGAAAAATTGAAACAGAATAGCCATCTACTTTTTCTAAAATCAGTACGGACCAATACTGGGAAGAACTGTTGTCACTTGAACCCCAGCTTGATCCATCAGATAAGGAAACTCGGGTTGAATATGAATAGTAACACGAAAACATTACAATAGGACGGAAGTGGAATATTTCTGCTATATTTTTTTTAATATGAGTAGATACGTTTACCTATCGTCCGGCTCTTACTCCTTCTATGTTTATTGAACAGAAGTAGAGGATCATCCCTTGTTTTCTGTTTAGGATATGGTTCACCGGTTCTTTCTTCTTCCATGGTCATAATGATTCAATTGTCTTAAGTTTTTGGTGATTAGACTAATCACTATCTGCGACTTTCCATCGTGAGGGTACCGAGTTGGCAGTACGCTGGCTGCTGTATTCAACTGGTAGTAAGGAGTCCGTACTCTCTGATAGCGCTTAGAGAAGCTGCTCTGATCAACAATTGCATGGGCAGATGTCCCTGCATGTATTTCCGGTGGGCAACCATGAGACAACATTATACTTTGGTCCCAGTCACGTTTTGGCTAGTCTGTGTTGCCATTGACGACAGATAGTGATAATTATATTGGCCTTTAGTCTCTTCTCTTCCTCCACAAAACAAATCTCCTCGTGACAAATAAAATGAAAAGAAATACGAATAAATCACTAACCTTAACCCACCTCCCCACCTCAACCTTTCCGTTTCAGTGAGTATGGTTTCTGTTCCAACTTTTGTAGTATAGAATACTTTCTCTTGGAATGGTCAACAGATATCTTTGCCCTTTGCGAACCCAAATTAAATTTCTTTTTCCATTGGCACCAATGAATTCGCTGTTCCAAGTTATCTTCCTCTTTGCTGAAAAGATTCCAGCATTCACATGCATGGACTTGGCGTTTACATCTGGAATAATCTTCCAATGGTAAGGAAACTGTCACTCGAGTCCCCAGACGACTCTGTCATATGCTTTCTACTTTCCTTATAAAACTCTATTAGCTATCTCTTATTCTTTTATCGCTCTCCCTCTTCTCAGGACTATCTCTGATAGTACAGAAACAGCACTCTTTTTTCATCCATCTTTGTGTTAGGTGATTTTAATGCGTATCACAGCACGTGGCTTAAACACTCTAATGTTATCGATGTTGTGGGCATTCAGACTTTCAATTTTTCCATTGCACAATCCCTTACTCAAATCGTGGATTTCCCAACTCGTTTCCCTAGCAAATCTGGGCAGCAGGCTTCTTGATTTATTTCTTACTTCCTCTTCTAGTTCTTGCAGAGCTTCGCAATTGTTATCTACTGTGCTCCTGATTACTCCTCTTTTGGTCTCGTTCTTTAGTAATGTTTCTGTTTTCTAATTCTTCCACATGCAGTAATTTATTGTGGCTCAGTGACTTTAATGCTGGTGTGAACTCGCTTAAAAAATGAAATAGAAATTATCTGGACGGGCGGTGTTCATTTGCCAGCCTTGATAAAGTTCAAAATCTTTTACATAATCTTCAGGAGGATGAAT